TTTCAAAGAGCCGGCACAGACTCGATGGGTCGAATGGCCTCTTTTTGTGCTGTACGTTCTATGATTCTATGAATATTCAATTTTATGTCAAGTGAGGACAAGATATCACCAATATTCACTGCCAAGACTCAAACAGAAATTATAAGCACTTGCTTATGATACTGTGGGGAGTCAGGATCCTGTGAGTCGGGGTTGAATCTAAGTAATCTTTATGAATCCTAGGATTTCAGAATTTTAATGCCCCAATTCCTGGAATCCTGGAAATCTTTCTGCAGAAAATCACCAGGGAGCTCAGCCAAGAGTGCACACGCTACATAGCAATCTCTCCCCAAACCAGTCCACTGACTCATTTCTCCCCCAGGACCCCCTCTCCACCCATCTTCTTTAGCAATGTGGCCTGACAACAAGGATTTACTGAGGCATGGAGGGAGGGAGAAGAAATAGGCAGATTTATTGACAAGAAGAGAAAGTGATATGTATAGAAACATGACAGAAAGAAAGTCAGCAGCACATACAGATATTGAGAGATAGAGAGAGAGACACACACACACACGCAGTATATGTTATACAGAGAGTGAGTAAAAGTGGGACACATCACAGAAGGACTGAAAGACAGTTAGTGGCACAAACAGAGAGGGGAAAGAAGGATACAAAGAAACAGAGAGACGGATGTAACTCAAAGTGAAACTGAATGAGGGTCATTGGCACATTTTGGGGGAGACGGAGAAAGAATGCAGAGTGAGAGAAAGAGAGACAGTGACATACAGGAAAGAGACTGAGAGAAAGTGAGAAATTAAACGTTGACAGTGAAACCTTCAAGTCCCTCCTCAAGACCCTCCTCTTTGACCATGCTATCGGCCAGCCCCCTTCCCCTCCCTTTCCTTCTCCCTCCCTGACCCCAGCTCGGGTCTGAAATGCTGTACACTGTCAAGCGCCTTGGGACGTCCTCCCGACACAAATGTAATCTTGTTGTTGTTGAAACAGTTGAACATAACACTAATAGAAATAAACTACTGAGAGGTTTGTGCGTATGGAGGGGGGAGAAAGCAGACAACAACAACAACAACAAAATTACATTTATAGAGTGCCTTTCACATCAGGAGGATGTCCCAAAGCACTGAACAGTCAGGTGTCGGGGCCCGAGCATGGGCTGAAAACCCAGCCACCTATGGTAGGGTGGGTCGGGCGGAAGACATGGAGCAGGCCGGAGCCAGTGGAGTTGGGTGAGGGTGGGAGTGATGGGGTCATGGAGCCTGGTGCGTGAGAATACATGAGCTGCAGAGTTTTGGATGATCTGCAGCTTGCGAAGGGAAGAGTTGGGAAGACCGATGAGGAGGGAGTTCCCGTAATCGAGCCTTGATGTGACAAATGAATGGGTAAGGGTTTCAGCAGCCTAAGGGGTGAGGCAGTGGCGGAGTCTGGCAATGCTGCGGAGGTGGTGGTAGGCAGTGCCGGTCATGGCATGGATGTGGGAGAGAAAGGACAGTTCAGGGTCGAACAAGATATCCAGGTTCCTGACTGGCTTAGTGAGGTTCAGTGTGCAGCTGTGGAGGCTGATGCTGCCAGCGCCTGAGGTGTGGAGGCACTGGTGTGAGCCAATCAGGAGGGCCTTGGTTTTGCTGATGTTGAGTTGGAGAAAGTTGGCCCTCGTCCAGGACTTGATGTCGGACAGGCAGTCAGTCAGGACGCCAGTAATCCTGGAGTTCAGGGTTGAGGCACAGAGGTAGAGTTGGGTGTCATTCGCATACATGTGGAAATTTACCCCATGTCCGTGGATGAAGTCACCGAGAGGGAGCATATAGAGGGTAAAGAGGAGGGAACTGAGGAGAGAGACCTGAGGAACACTGCACAAGACTGTGCAGGGGCTGGAGGAGAAGCCATTTTCCGTGACGAAATGTAGGCAGTGTGAAAGGTAGGACCTGAACCATCAAGGACAGAATCTTGAAGGTTGAAGTGGGAGGAGAGGCAGTGGAGGAGAATTGAATGGTCCACGGAGTCAAAGGTGGCAGAGAGGTCGAGGAGGAAGAGAGAGCCCTGGACACACATGGTCAGGATGTTGTTTGTGACCTTGACCAGAGCAGTTTTGGTGCTGTGGGTAGCAAGGAAACCCGATTGGAGGGGTTCATTGAGGGAGTGGGAGGAGAGGAAAGAGCGAAATTGGGAGGCAACGGTTCTCTCAAGGACCTTGGATAGACAGGAGAGAGTGAGACAGAAAACAATGCAATGACGGACAGAAAGTAACTCTGCTGCTGTTTTATTTTAAAAGTCAAGATAGAGAGACAGATATAACTTCCAGTTTGCAAAGGCCATTTCAAAAGAAAAGGGAGCAAAAAACCTTTTAAGAGTTTTGCAGAAGTTTAGTTTCAACTTGCGGTTCCTTAATACAATCCCCAAATCCTGGGATTCTCTTCTATAAATCCTAAGATTTTGGGAGCAGCATTATCATACAGGATCCCAGGATCAGGATTCCCAGGATTGCAACCCCTCCCTGTGATCTTATACCCCAAAAAAGGAAAAAGTAGTTGAATGATTTCAGGAAGGAAGAGAAAAAGGAAAAAGAATGACATTTTAAAACTAAATAATAAGAACTTCCTGGGCAGTTTGTCTAGTTGTTTATTATTTTACTGTGGGTTTCCACTAAGGTCACTTGGCATTTGACCAGTGAGCAGAACTCGGCTGAGGCTGAGGATGATTGGGAGGCATGTGTATAACATACTATTAGTTTGCATGTTCCTGCTGTAACTGTGACATGGATAGCAGAGGTATAATAAGACTACAAGATAAAACAAGATGTATGCCACAGGACTGGACTAATTTAGAATTTTCCCAGACAGATTTTTGGTTAAGCCCTGCCTCAAGAACAACAATGTGGTGCAATGGATGATATAACCAACAGCACTAATTTCAACTTCTCTCTTAAACCCTTTAATTTGCACTACGCACAACCCAGCTCATTGCAACTTTTAAAAAGCAGCAAAAATGTAATAAAGTGGCAAGAGCAAAACATTATCTCTCAACGGCTGTCTATTTTGTGCTCTGCCATTGATTCACACTTTGGCAACTTTTGATAATTGCAATCAGACACTTTGTGAATATCCCAAATTCAGCCACAAACAGAAGTGGTAATTAGCACTTCCCATACCTGTTACAAATGTCATAAATTAGATTGTAATTTATCACTGTCCGATATAAGATAGAGATCAGAAACTGTAAAGTATGATATGGTGTGGAAGAAAATGTACATCTCTGGGATTTTTAATTTGAGTATTCCCTGTACATATACACAAACACACAACCTCTTATTCCACATTAACCCTTGTAGGCACAATTACATTGCATCAGCACAATGAGGAATCTCATTATGATTTATTCCACCCAACACAAAAATCTTCTCTTACAGTCTATCAATCATAATATCAATTAAAACAATATTCAAACAAGGACAAGTTCAGCGTTTTGAAAATACCACTATCAGAATTACAACCAGTATGGAGAAATCCATTTTTCTACTTGCAAAACCATTTCCAGTTTGACAAAGTCCATGCATTTTTACCACTTAAAAATCTGTATATTTTGTATTACCTTGCATAAAGCACAGCTGACAAATACTAATAACAGGGGCATCATGTATCAGGCCTTGAAGACGACAATAATTCACACATCTGTTGTTGAGACAAGAGTAAATTAACTTGATCGGTCCATGGGTAATGATTCTTTTTAACAGTGTGATAATATTGCATCTGGAACTGCTTCTCCTCATCTGACTACTGCTATCAAGTCTACTATATTCAAGCTCTTTTTAAAGACCTAAAATTGCAGAACATCATCAGGGTTCAAAGAAGTAAGAGAAGAGTTAAATCGAGAAGTGTTGGCATTTTTTTCCCTGTGCAGCGCTGTCCAAATTTTTTTTGCAATATGTCAGAGGAAATATAGTTTGCAAGACATAATAGAGTATTATGAACGCTTAAAATAATGCCCAGTTAAATTAGAAAAATAAATTCATTTAAAAAGTGGGTATATTAAGCCTTTTATGTTTCACTTGCCTTTTTTTATTCTTGACGTAGACTAGGCATTCATATTTCCCATTGGTATATGCTCTATTTTAATTAGATGAGATTTTAACCAATTTCAAATTCAGATCAAATTCAAATGGGCTGGTTGAATACATTTAGAAATTTGACCCACTTAGAATTAATTGAAAATGACTGTCCAGTTAAGAAAGAAATACACAGCTGTACATATTGTAATACATTGCTTGCTATTTTTGAATATAGGCATATTGGTAAACTGGAACAGGAGGAAGCCACTCAGCCCATCAAGCCTGTTCTACCAGTCTATCAGATTTGGCAGACCTTTTAATCCAAAAGCCCTGCTCTTTTGTCATACCCTTAATACTTCTATTGCCCAAATATCTGTTTATCTCTATTATTTCTGTGGAAGTCCAATGATGCATTGACAGCCCTAATCTAAATGAGATAATGGGATAAGATATACATTTCATAATAAATTTGAAGCGATAATTATCGCCAAGTGATAACTATTAAATGGTTTATCAACACAAAATAACAAGAGATTTTATCACCAATAATATTTAATGTCAATTTACTTCATATCATTTAATAGTTATCAGCAGTGATAATTCTCACTTTTAACTGATTTTACTCCAACCTTTGTCCATGACTCTCTGGGGTGATGTAAAAAGAATGAAATTCACACCTACTAACACAACCCATTAAACCCCCATATTCTTACTTTATCTGTATTCTCAAGCCACTAAAAAGTTGTTTTCCGATCAATTTGTGGGTTTTTTGTAAGAGACAACTACAATCAAGATATCTGAGAAAACTAGATCATCACAATACCTAATGTTAGCTCATGACTGAGTACAACACGGAGTGAATTTGAATCATTGTTAAATTTACCACAAATATCATTAACATTCAAAACGATCAACCATAAATGATAATTTCACCATCTCATCACAAATATTTAAAGTGTACCTGGAAAAAGAAATCCAGGACTGCCTGGTGGTTGCCAGGAGAGTAGATTGTTTCCGTGGTGACACCTTCCTGCACACATTCGACTTGCTGCAGCTGAAAGAGCACCTCATTGAGATACTGATGGATCTTCTCATTGGTCATATTGATACAAAGCTGAAAGGTACAGAGAGATTTATTTACTTCAAACATTTGGCCACAAATATAAAGCATGTGTGATGATAAGGATTAATTAACATCCATCTCCTGGACACAGTGAGTCTGTGTCCTGTTGTTGCATGTTCCAGATATGGAAGTATGTGGAAAGGATTACCAATAACCCAAGTTTTAGTGGTGGATTATGATGTTGAATTACATCTATGTGGTGAAAATTTGATATTTCTTAATAAGTTTGATAGGCTTTTGAATGTGAAAATAAACATCAAATTATTCTGTCCATTACTAAAGACTTAATGCGAGTGTGAATCCCTTCCCTCCACTCCCAAACTTAGGTGCAATAGCTGGGCCTGAAGCTAGCGCTAAGACGTTCAGTATCATCCTCAATTTGAGTTAAGCCAGATTGCATGAAGTGACACTGAAACGCTATTCTCTGTGAGAAACTATACCCTTGTAATTTTAGGACTGCCTTTTGATTCAATCATATTGATAAAATTCAGGGCGATCACCCTGGTTTTGCCTCAATAGTTAAGCCAAAATGTTGTTGTCCCCCTTAGTGTGGTTTATGGTACGTGGTATCTCATGAAGCAATACTGGAAACGGGCTATGGGACTGCAACAAGAATTGATGAAGTCGGGGGGGTTCAAAAAATGGGTTGACTCGGTTAAGTGATCTCACCAGTTAGGTTCAATGAGTCAAGAGTCAGATGTGGTCACGTTCCAGGTACAACCATTGAAAAGTGTTTTACAGAGAGGTAATATCCATCTCCAGCAAACATGGACACCAGTCCACATGCTATGATCAAGTTATGTTTTCATTGTACACTAGGTGCTCCGACATCCCTATGGTCTGTTTGGGTGAATTGTGGCCATGTATTAAGCTGAAAAGTTCCTGAAATATTTTACCTTTAAAACTATAAGACTCTATAGTAATGTATAATTGTGCTTCAGACTAACAATGATTCCAAAATGAATACTTGTAATTCATTGATCACAAATTTACACACTGAATATTAAAGTGTCATACATTAAAAAAACATTTTCGTCTTCTATTTTCAGCGATCACAGATCACTTGCAACAGACCTTCAGCAAGAAGTGTAGGACAGCCTAAGTGCTGGAAACAACCAGTGATGCTTTAAGCATTATAAGGTAAGATTGAACTGAGCTGAGTTAATGAATCAATTTACATAAGACTGTTAAATGTCGTTGTTAATATTTTTACGAATATTCAAAAATCCTGACCAAGGGGTGTATATTCATTAAGAAATTAATATACTCAATTCAATTATAAAGATGCAATGAAAAGATAACTATTTTTAGCAATTATCAGCATGCGATAAACTCTAAGAGTAATGTCAAGGGAGTTTTTCTACATCTCTTACACACTACATCTGACCTGAGTGTCCTTGATATTGATATGGTGAAAAGGAAGAGAAAATATTCCATTTCTCACCACTAACATTCTTCACATGTCTGAGCCCACTCCAAATATAAACAGCTTGAATCTTTCCAGCACAAATACAAAGACTCCACATAGATGATGGGTTGACCTTAGGACTTAATAAACCTATTTATTTTCTAAAAACACGATGCAAAATGATACCTTATGTGGACATTGTCAAAAGGGCAGTGTCTTCACTTCTCTTTCCCATACCATGTATTTTAATGAAAATAGTTTTGTTTTTGTGTTTTCGTTATGTCGAAGCACTATGCAACATTTTAGTTCAAATGTTCAATAGTACATCCCTCAGTAACAGCACTGCTTCACTCTCCCTGGTCCAGGGAGGCTTCTTTTTGTTGATCAGTCTGGAAATGGAACACCATGCATATGTGGGAACCTCTGTAGTTTGGTTTGGATACTCTTAAGCATGGTAATGGGTTTCCAAACCTGCCAGACCAATTAACCAAATAATAATGCAAGGCCTTCTCACCAACTAGGGAGAATAAGGGACTGTAATCTGCTGTTATATTAGGGCCAAGTAGGAATATTACTAGAAATTTCACAAATTCAGAGTGTTGATAATATTTTTAACCCCTTTGCTTAGAACGATATCATCTGTTTGCAAATCACTGAAAGAAAGCTGGCTGTTGTTTTGTCTCTATTGTGATTTGTGTTCTCGCAACTAGGCTGTTTTGGACAGTACTCAGACTTCTCTATTGTCAAACGCATTGCCAAATGCTCGTTCAGAAGATGTAATCCTATCATCAGTACTTATGCAGTACTCACAGCACTCATTGGCACTGCCCACCTGTTCATAGGCATTTTTCTGGAATTCTTCAAAGCCAAATATGTCCAATATTCCAATTTCAAGTGTTGAGCCACTGCAACATGAAAGGAAGCAGAGAAATATATGAAAGCCATTGGTGATGATAAAGCTGCCTCAAAATAAATGTTGGCACTCAATTTGGAAATGTTCCTGTAGTTTCTGAGTGCATTGAATTACGGGGTTCTTTTTGGCAAATAAAGTTTTATATTATTGTGTCAAAACAAATGCTAAACAGTTTCTTTGCCAGCCACACTCAATTCATAGCATTCTCACATCTGAGACAGGCAGTTGTGGGTTCAAACCCCCAAATGGTTACTTTAATCTTAAATTCCAGGCTTACACTCCAATACAGTGCAGTGAAGCACTACTTTGTTGGAGGTGTCTTTGCATGAGACGTAAACCGAAGTCTCAAATGCCTATCCAGGTGGACATTAAAGATTCCATGACATAATTTGAAACGTTCCCTCAGAGTCATCCCCCAGATAATCATCAGTTAATTTACTTCAAATCTTTTTGTGGGACATTGCTATCTGAAAATTGGCTGTTCCATTCACTTACAATTGACTACACTTCACAGTGAATCTTGTGAAATATTTTTGAGACATCACGAGGCACTATATCAAATGCAGGGATTATATTAGTTTTTTTATTACCAAAATCATGCTTGTAGCTGCACAGCACAGACCCGACATGGGATTTCATCCCACTACCTTCTGACTAAGAGGTGAAAGTGCTCCATTGAACCAAGCTGACACATGTTTTTTTTAAACACACAATAATTAAGTAATAGAACACAGCAGAAATACTACAAATGTTACCATTTTTTTTCTCCACTTTTTATTTGGTTTGTATGTGATTTTACAAGCCAAGAATCAGTAACTTATCCGTCTTCTGATGTTATCACTATTAAATGATTAAATGATTGTTATTAGGCAGTTTTAAAATTAAAATTGTATACACCAACAAAAAGAAGAAGAATCTTTATGTTTGATAAAATGCTTTCACATTGGAAAGAAGTATCAAAGAGCTTCACAGGATTTTACTTCAAAGTGTAGAATTTAACTGTGGCTATGATGTAAATGAACACTGTCACCAATTTGCACCTGCCAAGATCTATATTTGGTGCAAATCTAGTTAGGTCTCATGTCTTTCTATGCACATTTATTCAACAACATTATAAACTTTGCAGTTCAATCAGACTTGTTTATCTTGCAAACAATTGCATGGAGGAGGAATTAGCAGCCAATGATTCACACAGCAGTATACCAAAACTCAGATAAAATAACAAAGTTTGTTTCAGTCATACACGGACCAATTCACTGAACAGCAAGCATTTATTTGATTCTTAACCCCTAGATTGATGGCAGGTCAATGAAGAATCAATCTCTGTGGTCTGACGATGCTGCTGGAAAAAAACTTATTGTCCGCAATGAAGCCACTCAATCATCAGGATTGCTTTATTACTGTGCGATTAACCCTACCTCCAACAATGAATAACCAGAAAAAGACAATTTTAAATATATCATAAATGCTTGCTCTTCTGTCTTTTTTTTATCTGACAAATGTGACTTTTTCCTATTATCCCCATAGTTTTTCCTATTATCTCCTTACTTTGCAGCCCGTGTCCTCTCCCGCACCAGGCTCCATGACTCTATCACCCCCATCCTCACCTGACTCCACTGGCTTCCCATCAAACAGAGGATATAGTTCAAGATCCTGGTCCTCACCTTCAAAGCCCTCCATGGTCTTGCTCCTCCCCACCTCTGCGACCTCCTAACCCTCTACCATCCTGCTCGCTCCCTCCGCTCAGCGGGCTTTGGTCTGCTTGATGTCCCCTGCCTCGCTCGCCCCACGATTAGTGGTCGGACCTTCTGCCACTCTGCCTGCAGCCTCTGGAGCTCCATCCCACAGTCCCTTCACCTTGCCCCCTCTCTTGCCTTCTTCAAGAACCACCTCAAGACCCTCCTCTTCGACCGTACTTTCGATCTCCCTGCTTCCCCACCTGCCCTCCACCCTCCCCAATCCCAACCCTCAGCTCAGGTCCAAAACTCTGTCTGTCCAGCGCCTTGGGACGTCCTCCCAAAGTGAAAGGTGCTTTACAAATGTAATTTTGTTGTTGTTGTAGTTTAGGGTGGCACTTTAGCGCAGTGCTGGGATTTGGTGCATTGCTGGAGGTGCTGTCCTTTGGATGAATAATTGGATGATCATACACTTCATGACTATTTGTGGGACATTGCTGTGTGAAAACTGACAGCAGCATTTGCCTACAAATACTACCCTGTGAAGCAAAATCCTGTGAAGCGCTTTTAGCCATCTTGACAATGTGATAGGGCGCTTTATCAAATGAAGTATCATTCTTTTTATTTATTTTATGTTTTTACTATTTTCTACTTGATCTTTTTAACGCTTATTCTAATATTTCTTTCCCCTTATTTTTTTTTATCTCTAAAACCTATCACTTACCTTTCTTTCAACTTTCTGGAACAAACAATTTGCATTGGCAAAAACTGAGCTCAAAGTCAAATTGCAAATATAGATAGTCACTATACTTGACAATAATTACCTTTGGAGCACTTTGGGACATTGGGACAATGATAGAGTGCTATAAATTCCAATTATTTTCTCCAAAGTGAATGTGTCCTTAATATCCAGTTATATCAGATCATTATTGATTGAAGGTGGAAATAAAATACTTTGCATAATGCTTTCTATTCTAAGCAGTAGTACATCGATGCTTGACCTTGAATCTGCCATTATATTCATTTATTGGGTCCTCTGTTTCTTTGCTTGGTTTTAAGCAATTGGTTTCATTGAGATGAATTAAAACTCGGATTAATTAAAAAAATCACTAAATATTGTACTGCAGTTTTGGTTAACCAAAGCCATTTTAACTAAAGGAGTCACTGGACAACTTCAAAGCAGATTTTTTTTAAAAGTTAAAATATAATATAATATGGTGGTCTTAATTAACCATTTGCAACTCTGATTTAAAAGAAGCCACCAGGCTAATAAAATGTTTATTTTTTCAGAGTTACTGAATAGAAAAAGCCATTATTAATACAGATTGTTCAGATAGGGTTTCAGCATCACCCACCGCTTATGAACATCAAAATGTACAAAAGATCAGTGTGATGTAAATGCCCAGTGGCAGCTACATATTTTGTCATACAAAGAAACCTAAACTCTGGAACTGCCTTCCTCACTCCCTTCGTCTCGCTCCCTCCCTTTCCATTTTCAGGTCTCTACATTGTGTATTTCTTTTCGACTGCGCCTTTGGTCACCTTCCCACCCCTCCCCCTGGCTCAGTCCCGGGATCCTAAACTGTAAAGCGCTCTGAGACGCCATCTGGCGTGGAGGGCGTTATATAAATCCAAGTTATTGTTGTTGTATAATCCCATATTGCGTCATCTTTCACTCCCCTCAAATGAATTCTTCGCCAGATAGCTATGTAATAACCTTCTTAAATTTGTAGATAAAATGGGTTAAAAGTTCTATGCAGATTATGCATACTGTCTTTGATAATGTGTGAATATAATAGAAAATCCCATTAGTAGCCAACATTGCCAATGGCTGAATGGAATTTTTTTTAAACGTAAATTTGCCTTCACTGTCTCTCTGGATAGTCCAATGAGCAGAATCCCATCTTTATAACACGGGTTCATAATTCAATGTACCATGATGCATTCTTTAAATGCCCACACACCTGTCTCACCCTACCTATCTTGTAGTCCTACTCTCCCAGCCATTTCCCCCCACCACCGATCTGATAACCCAGGGTTGGTTCACGGGGCCATCCTCTGCCCCAGGGTCAGAAGGCCTATTTTTGGTTACTGTAACTATTTTGCCCCTAATCTTTGGAACTCACTCCCAGATTACTCCATATCACAGCCCACCCCTCCACCCAATTTTAAAAACCCTGCTAAAAATCTAACAACTTCCTCAAACTTCCAATCCATCTTTGTGAAGCACTTTGAGACATTTTCCTGTGTGAAAGCTGCTTTCTAAAGGCAAATTGTTGTTTTTGTTTGAAATCTCGCCTGTGAAACAGAACATTGCTGGTGGAGTTAACTGCTCACTGGGCAGTCCACGCTTGTAAGAATACAGTAACTAGGAAATGCCTGTCGAACAAGCCAAACTGATGTTGGTAAGTCTTAAAATAATTATTTTCCCAGATTGGTGTCTGAGGAAGTGGAGTGAAATTGAGAGGTTGCATTTAGATTAACCCAAAATGTCCCATTTATTCTGATCTTGCCCATACCAGTATTAAAACACATCAAATACATATTTTAATTGGACAGTCTACATGCGTGAAAACAATGTAATTTGGAATTACTTGGTCAAATTTATTAAATGTATCATAATTAGAGGTTCAAAAATAGGTTGGGAGCACTGCATTAGTGTTTTTATGTTTTCTCTATTTTGATTCATTCAATGCAATACCAATACCCACTTGATGTCATGTTTATACTGCTATAGGCAAAGGCACGTATTTCCCTTCCAGCAGCAGACTTATATGGAGTGAAGAGCCTCATTTATACTTCCCATTCTTCCTCACATTGGGGACTGTTAAAAATCTGTTTGCAAAGCTCTCCACGAACACAGGCCTCTGAAATAGGTGTTTGTGTTTTAACATTATTAAAAAGGCTTGACTGACTTTTTAGTAACACTGAAGAACAGTTCCTTGAATGTTTGTGTGAACATCCATTGATGTGTTCAAAGTCTTTTAAGATACAAATGGAAAATGAAACAATTTGATTCACACCCACTCTGTTTATAATGTAAAGATATAATTATACTCCTCCCATAACCACCTCACCAGGTAGTCATTTTAAACTATAAGTTATATGCATGTGGAACAACAGTGATTTATAATGCAAAGCTAATATAGTGTTTAAATATATAAAAAATCTAATTGAGTGAAAATATACAAAATCTGTATAGAAAATTGTGCAGTTTAAGAAAGGCTAGAATCAAGTAAAAACATGGCAATCGGTTTGCTAATTATGAGAACTCCATCCAGTGGCCTAACTGAGAATTAACATATTATTGACTACTTGATGTTGGACAATGTCACAGTTCTCAGACAAACAAAAACTCACTTTAATACAGTATCTGATCCTGATTAGATCAACTGATATTCTTTGAGTGTGCTCCTTAACGGTAAACGTTTATCATTTATAAATAGCGTCTGCATGGTACTTAAAAATATCTTTAATTTTGTCACTTATGTTTGCCAAGGGGGAAGCTGAAAGAGATCTAGGGGTGTTAGTTAACTCATTACTCGATATGTCAAAACATGGTGAGGTGGCATTAAACAAAGGAAACAGGATGCTGGTTATGTTGCTAAATCAGTTGAGTTTAGATTCCTAAATGTCATACAGAGACTGTACGCTGCTCTGATAAGACCATAACTTGAATACTGCATACAGTTCTGATCACCGCAATATAAATGGTTGTCTGGGCCCAAGAGGCAGTCCAGCGATGATGTTTTATAAAGGTTCAGATAGATTTCATAAAATAATTGATTTGGGAATATATATTCATACAGGGTGACCAGCAACTCATGATAACTGCCCCATTATCTAAAACAAATCATTTATTTAAGACTTATTAGACATTGTAATGGTATCAAGACTTACCTTTCACTCTCGTCCTGATTCTGCAGGTAGCAATTGATGGTATTCACCAAAAAGCTAAAAAGACGGCTATAAAGCGACTTTGCCAGAAGATCACGATAAAAATTTGCCACATCTACTGTATGTCTTCGCATAATTATATCTCCTGAAGTGAAAGAATAGAAAGAATTCAGCTCATTTATTTTTCACTATTTTTTGATGTTTACTTTGTATTGAAATTGATGCAGATTAACACACATCAACATTACCTTTAAAATACTGAACGTCAGATGTTAAGGCTGAAGTCAAGTCATCAGATGACACCTGCAGAATACTGGCCACTGAAAACAAATTTATATTAAGTTATTTGTCAGTTTAACTCGTAGCATTAGTGGATAAATATAATTAAATAGAATCACGTAATATGTTGCTCACCTAACACACCTGTTAACTAAACTCTGACACTTTGAATCTGCAACCTTTAAAATGTTCAAGATCAGGAACTACCAATCTGTTCCAGTTGGTGTTTAATTTCTGTGAGGACAATGGCCCTTTTGATTTCTAAACTTTGTGGTATTTACATAATAAAATCCTGCATAACTTTTTTGACTAGTAAATTGTACTAAACTAATTATAGTGAAACCTATTTACACTATGTTTATGCACATTTATGAATGAGAAAAACTAGTCTTACTGGAAAAACGTCAGCAATTCTGTTGGATAAACCAGAAATAGTGGAACTATTCAAAAAGGGAAGGGAGTTTCTCCTCATATCCTCGTGAACAGTCCCCCAAATAAAATTTATAGTAAGTCCCGCGAAGCACTTCGAGATGTTTCGACTACATAATATAGTAAAATATTATATGCAAGGATTATTAATATACTGGATTTCTTCTTGCTATATGTAGAATGCAAAGTTATAGTATGAAGTATTAAGTTTGCAATGCTTCCATCTGCTGGTGTCTTCTATTAGCACTCTCACACTTACAGAAATATTCATACAAACAATACACACGCTAATACGCCAACAATAGCACACACACCAACACTGGTTCACACTAATAACAGTCTAATCACAATCACAAACACTGAAAATCACACACTATCATAACCACACAAACAATCAATCCCACATAACAACTGAGTAACAAAATTACTCACTAACAATCACACACACATTAGAAACTAGATATATTAACTTTAACTCAAACATTTATGAATGTAGTGCATTGTTTACAAACTGAAAAAATACAAGCCTACTGACCTCGTTCCAGTAATTGTAAATCTGACACGTGTGGGGCCTCAACATCTGGTAGAGTTAGAAATTGGATGTCCCCAAGATGCAAGATTGCAGACAAAATCAAAAACAGGTTTTCAACTTCCTGAAACGGAAATAAATGAAATTATGTGATACTTTTTTTTTAAATGTGTAAAATGTTTGTCCTACTTCTTTGCAACATATAGCTATAATCAAGCTGTAGAAAGCCTTATTCATTATACAGTTTTTTTAATCAATCTTATACAGTGTACACTACATTTCTAGTCAGAAATTATTAATAAATTATTAATAATTCAACTGAAGCACAGAAATATACATTTCTTATGGTTGGTAACTTTATTAGCAGTTGAATTAAACTTCATAGGTTTTTAAATGACTCAAAGCACGGTCCAAATATTTTCTGAGGAGGAGGTAAGATCGAAATGTTCCACTCACTTATTTTTGAGATTTTAGAACTGTGTTTCTGGGAATCAAATTAAAAAAACATCAATTTTTGTTTCCTATTTTGATGGCATGTTAGTAAATGCTTTCTATCGTCACAGAATTTAGTGACTTTCACAAACCTGTGACAAATTCTATTATTTGCCAGAAACAAATACAACTCTTAGTGGTATTTTTTGGACTTGCGAGGTAGACAAACCACATATTAACTGAATCTAAATTTGGCTGGACCGACAGTCCAATGTGGGTACTGTTATTTACATTATACAGCTAATGTGGTGATTCTGCAGTCATTTTCATGGTAATACAAACCTGTATTCATCTGAACATTACTAGCCCATAGGCTATTAGTCCAACCTGTACTTTACAACAACAAAATTACATTTGTATAGCGCCTTTCACGTCAGGAGGACATACCAAGGAGCTGGACAACCAGTGTTTCGGACCCGAGCTGGGAATTGGGATCAGGAAGGGTGGAGGGGAGGGGTTAAGGAGGGTGATCGAAGGCATGGTTGAAGAGGAGGATCTTGAGACGAGTCTTACGGAGGCAATGGAGGGGATGTGGCCTGCGGGATGGAGTTCCAGAGGGTGGGGGCAGAGTAGCTAAAAGCCCACCCGCCAATGGTGGGGCGGCGAGGTGAAGCAAGCTGGAGCTTGCTGAGCGGAGGGAGTGGGCAGACTGGTAGGGGGTTAGGAGGTCACCAAGGCCATGGAGAGCTTTGAAGGTGAGGACCAGGATCTTGAGCTGTGTCCTTTGTATGATGGGAAGCCAGTGGTCTCGGGCGAGGGTGGTAGGATTACGGAGCCTGGTGCGAGAGAGGACACGGACTGCAGAATTCTGGACGATCTGCAGCCTATGAAGGGAAGAGTTGGGAGTTAGCAAGGAGTTTGCATAATCAAACTGGATGTTATGAATTTGTGTATGAGGGTTTCGGCAGCCTGCGGTATGAGACAGTGGCGGAGCCGGGCATTGTAGCGGAGGTGGGGGAAGACAGAGTGGGTTTAGACCCCAGTGTAAATATTGCCAATATTCTGTAATTGATTGTGCTAATTTGGTACATTATCGACATTTGTTATATTATTTTATACCAACATTCACAAACAGACATTTGAAATACTCTCTTTTTAGAAAATGTTTATTTAGTAAAGTATAAGTACTGGAATTTATGTTGCAGTTTGGGGACTAAAGTTTATACAATATTGGAGTCAAATTCACAATAAGGATTAGGAGGATTATAGTGAGCGTAATAGGATAATGATGTTCAGTATTTTTCAATATATAGAAGCAGATTTATATGGCGAACAATTAAACAATCTATCTATCTTCTTCTGTCTTCTTTCTATACTAATAAAATGACAATGTCTGTCTGCGTTTCAAGAAGGATCTCAATAACCGATTGACAAAGAGACGTGATTTATACCTAATCGGAAAGATCTTGCATCTGGCAATGACATGGGCATATTTGTTTTCGAGTATCTCCTAACCTTCATGAGTTTTGCGTTTTTCATTGCAGTTACACCAGGTGGCTGCACCGGCTGACCATGGCGCTGTGGCTTCTTGCATCACAGAGCACGCACGTAGCCAAGCGGTGGGAACATAATAAAGAATACAGACGAAGCTAAGTCGCAAAATTGAATTTTTAAAGAGCCAAGTCCTCCCATTGAGTCCTTCCAAAAGGAGTCCTCCCACAGGTGTATAGATAAAGATGAAATGTCTATGTGCCATATTGGATCCTTTGGTTGCAAGCATAGCTGCAACGGGTAAAGCTAGTATATAATAATGTTACAATGTTGACCTGTAGAGTGCAAGTCAAAAATACATCTTAAATGTGATTATTCTTTGCTAACTAGATATAGAAAATAAACCTAGTTGGTAAAGATTTGGGATGTATGGGGATAATTATTTTATGAATTCAACATTGCAAACATTAAGTATAGTTTAAGAATTCGTATGCGCAGACAATTTCTGGTGACTTGCTAGAAACACAGAAAAGGAGATTGGATGTTACAAACTGGTCAATAGCCATCTGAGCAGTATTCTTTGCCTGACAACATTAACTCCAGAATGGGACTAAGTCAGAATCCTTTACAATTATAATTTAGGTGATTTCCAACACAGGAACTAATATCTGTGACAATTGAAATGGCTTCTGGTGGATTAAATATATATATATATACCCAGTGCCTTTGAACAGCAGTTTTATGCAATACTTCTGGTCTGCTGTGAAACCAATGGACATAGTTACATATAATTTATTAATCTGTTGCAAATGAAAATGTTATTGATTCCGGTCTTAGACCTTGACATAGATTTTAAAGAGCTATTTTTGCAGTCTCTACTCAAAGAAAGGATACATGGAGCAATCCTTTAGTGATAGATTTTATTTCTAATTATTAAAAACTGGTCAATGGGTTCAACTCCAAAGGCACTAATGATTTTCCATTTCATCAGATGCCTCTTGCGTAAGCACATGAATCACACTTTAATAAAATTCACTCCTTGTGCAAATGTGTCGAATTTTCCACCCCCTCACCAGATCAAATTGTTTACCACACTCACTGCCAAACAGAGATACCGGTGATACTCATAACAACAATATCCCAGCATGATTCATCAGGCTCAGAATATTCAGGGAAAATGCTCAGGGAAAAACTATATAACTATAAAACTATATAACTGTAAAACTATATTCCAGTAGTAATTATTATCCCCACAACACAAAAACAGAGCACAAACAAAACAAAATTAACACTTTTCATTCATTATGGAACAACTGTGCCAGATTGACGTTGCACTAAATATTCAAATGAAATTTGAAAAAAGTACATTCCTTTTTGATAAAGACACAAGAATAACCACAATTAATTTATCCTAAACAACAAAATGGGCAGTACTATAATCTGCCCCTAAAGTTTCAATATCTTTATAGAGAATTTCAAAATGCAAAGAGTTTTTATGAAGACCTGTGTTGCGATACTGATTATAGGACAGCAAATACTGTTGGATATTATTGTTTAGTAAACCTCAAATGCTCTCAGCTTCAGCTAGAGCTCTGTAGCTGAATATGTATGATACACTTAAAAAGATGGGAAGGAGTTTGGCAATTGAAAATAAAAAGGTTTTAAATTGAATCTAGAAACACAAACATAGAGTCAACACAATGCGCCAAATAGCCTCCTTCTATGTTGAAAATTTCCATGTTTCTATGAAAAGCTCATCTTCTGTGATTGCATTACATGATTTCTCAACTTGCACTCAAGAGGCTCAGTATCCTATTACTTGAATACTGAGCATATGCTGTTGTTGCTGTGGCCCCACATTCAGCTTGTCGCATATCATTCATTGGACAGTAATTGGAGATGGTTCATGGGTCAAGTCAGCAATTCATTTGCATCCTACATTTTCCGTAAGCCACATGTTCTGTCGAGGAAGCTTCAGAGCAGAACCAAAGGGATGATTCTGAGATCAAGGCTCTAAGTTATGAAGAGAGAGTCATAAAACTTAACAACTTGTTTTTGTTAGAGAAGAAGACTGAGATGAAAAATGATGCATGCTTTTTAAGACACTGATTTAATCTGAGTGCAAAAAACAAAGACGTGATTGTAGGATTAACAAGATGCAAGGAAGACATAATGATCGAAGTTCCCCCCCCACCCACACCAGAGTAATATATATGTGAAATACATTCAAATAATCTAATGTTTAAATTAATTCTTTAAAAAAAACGGAATCAATATGCAACCGAGTTCTCCCAATGTTCTGGTCAATATTGATTGGTGGCTGAAGGCACGGTCAAAGAGGAAAGTCTTCAGGCAGGACTTGAAGCAGGCAAGAGAGGTGGTGAGGTGGAGAGATTGCGGGATAGAGTTCCAGAGTGTGGAGGTATAGATGCTGAATGCCTGACCGCCAATGCTGGGGCAGGAAGTGCGGGGGACTAGAAGCAGGTGGGTGTCAGCCGAGCAGAAGGAGCGCACAGGCGGATATGGGGTTATGAGGTCGGGAGAGGTCGTGGAGGCCCTTGAAGGTAAGAACACGAGGTTTTGTCCTCGATTCTCTGAGGAATTGGGAGCAACTGGAGCTGGGAAAGAATGGGGGTGATAGGTTCCCAGAGCCTGGTGCGGGAGAGGACATAAGCTGCAGAGTTCTGAATAATCTGCTGGTTGTGGAGGGAAGAGTTGAGAAGTCCAGTGAGCAGGCAGTTGGTGCAGTCAAGCTGGGATGTAATGAAAGCATGGATCAGGGTCTCAGTGACCTGCAGTGTGAAGCACTGGCGGAGGCAGACAATGTTACGGAGGTGTGGAAAGGCGGAACAAATCACAGCAAGAATGTGGGGTTTGAAGGATAGTTGAGGGTCGAAAAGGAAACCAAGATTTTGGATTGGCTCAGTGAAATCCCTTCATGCCCTGGCACCCCCATCTATCCGACCTGCTTACCAGCCAATCCACTATCCGATGCCTCCTGCATGTCCCTCGTGCCTTTGGTTCCACTATTGATAGCCACACTTTCAGCCACTACGCCCCTGAAACTTTGTACCGCTCTTCCTCTATCCCTCCACCTTTCTCAATCTTCAGGTCGTGCCTGAAGATCTTCCCCTTCGACTGTGCCTACAGTCACCTCCCCGTCATTCCAGCTTGGCGTCATGCTCCACCACTATCAAGGGC